ACCTGTTTTGCATCACAGTTCCTGCCCCATCTTGTGTTCAGTTCTCTCCATCGTATGCACAAAATTGATCTTGTAAAAAACACCAAATTACTTTGTTCTTCTTCAGTCACAGACATGAGACAAAAATCATACTTCTAGCAGCATATGCAGGTTTGTAGAGAGAAGACTGGGCCGGGGGTGGGCATTAGAAGGCAGGACGGGTGGCATTTCAAGATAACTCAACAAATTGCAGAATGTACTAAAGCCATTGGATTCTGCAGTGGATTTCCCATTGTGCTCTGAACGTTCCTGGGGTCAGCAATTTTTAAAATTGACTTTAAAAGATAAATAAATAAAATCAGTAAACACACGCTATAAAAACTTCAAATAGGGACAGGTCTTGTGGCACAGCGGGTTAAGCTGCTGCCTGTGATGCGGGTACAGGTTCAAATTCTGGCTGCTCCACTTCCAATCCAGCTCCTTGCTAATGCACCTGGGAAAACAGTGAAGATGGTTCAAGTACTTGGGCCCTTGCCACTCATGTGGAAGACCTGGATGGAGATCCCTGCTCTTGGCTTTGGCCTGACCCAGTCCTAGCTGCTGCGGCCATTTGGGGAGTGAACCAGTAGGTAGAAGATCTCTTTCTGTCTCTCCTGCTCTGTCACTTTGCCTTTCAAATAAACAAAAAAAATATATTTTTTAAAGATTTGATTTATTTGAAAGACAGAGTTACAGAGAGAGGCATAGACAGAGAGAGAGGTCTTCCATCTGCTGGTTCACTCCTCAGAAGGCTGCAATGGCTAGAGATGCACCGATCCCAAGCCAGGAGCCAGGAGCTAGGAGCTTCTTCCAGGTCTCCCACGTGGGTGCAGGGTCCTAAGGACTCTTTCCCAGGCCATAGCAGAGAGCTGGATTGGAAGAGGAGCAGCTGGGACTAGAACCGGCATCCATACGGGATGCTGGCGCCTCAGGCCAGGGCTTTAACCTGCTTTGTCACAGCACCGGCCCCAACACATAAATCTTAAAAACAAAACTTCACGGCCGGCGCCGTGGCTCAATAGGCTAATCCTCCACCTTGCGGCGCCGGCACACCGGGTTCTAGTCCCGGTTGGGGCGCCGGATTCTGTCCCGGTTGCCCCTCTTCCAGGCCAGCTCTCTGCTATGGCCAGGGAGTGCAGTGGAGGATGGCCCAGGTGCTTGGGCCCTGCACCCCATGGGAGACCAGGAAAAGCACCTGGCTCCTGGCTCCTGCCAGGATCAGCGCGGTGCGCCGGCTGCAGCGGCGGCCATTGGAGGGTGAACCAACGGCAAAAGGAAGACCTTTCTCTCTCTGTCTCTCTCTCTCACTGTCCACTCTGCCTGTCAAAAAAACAAAAAAAAACAAAAAAAAAACAAAAAAAAAAAACAAAAAAAAAACAAAAAAAACAAAACTTCATATAGAGTATGCTAAAAATAAAATATTTAGATATTCCTTGGAACACCCTTAATCTAGTTCTACACTCCACAGAATTTAAACTATCTTGTCTTAAAAGATTTATTTATTTGAAAGGCATAATTGCAGAGAGATATTACAGAGATTTTTTTTTTTTTTAAGATTTATTTATTTGAAAGGCAGAGCTACAAAGAGGCAGAGGCAGAGAGAGGTCTTCCATCCTCTGGTTCACTCCCCAAATGGCCGTATTGGCCAGAGCTAAGCTGATCCGAAGCCAGGAGCCAAGAGTTTCTTCCAGGTCTCCCGTGTGGGTGCAGGGGCCCAAGGACTTGGGCCATCTTCCACTGCTTTCCCAGACCATAGCAGAGAGTTGGATCGGAAGTGGAGCAGTCAGTCTCGAACCGGCACCCATATGGGATGCCAGCACTGCACGAAGTGGCTTTACCTGCTATGCCACAGAGCCAGCCCTCAGAGATTTTTCAACCACTAGTTCACTCCCCAAATGGCTGCAAAGTCCAGGGCAAAAGCCTGGGACCCCATCTAGGTCTCCCACACAGGTGGTAGGACCCAAGCACTTGGTCATCTTCCCGTGCTTTCCCAAGCACATTAACAGGGAGCAGGATCAGAAGCGGAGCAGCTGGGACTTGAACAGTGCTCACACAGGATGCTGGCATTACAAGCAGCAGCTTAATCCACTACACCACACATTGGCACTAAGGGTTGGTTTTTATGCTTTTGGTTTCTTTTTTAATATTTATGTATTTATTTGAAAGGCAGAGTTACAGAGACAAGAGATTTTCTATCCGCTGGTTCACTCCCCAAGTAGCTACAACAGCCAGGGCTGTGCCAGGCCAAAGCCAGGAGCCTGGAGCTTCTTCCAGGTATCCCACGTGGGTGCAGGGACCCAAGCATGTGGGTCATCTTCCACTGTTTTCCCAGGAGCATTAGCAGGGAACTCGATCAGAAGTGGAGCAGCCGGGACTGCAACCAGCACCCATATGAGATGCCAGCACTTCAGGCCACAGTTTACCCATTGATCTACAGCACCACCCCAAAAGTTGTTTTTTTTTTTTAAATAATTTATTTATTTATTTATTTGAGAAGCAGAGAGAGAGAGAGAGAGAGAGAGAGCACACGAGTGATTGAGCAGGCTGAACCCAGGAGCCAGGAACTCCATCATCAGGTCTCCCCTGTGGATGGCAGGGACCCAAGTACTTGGGCCCTCTTCTGTTGTCTTCCTGGGCACATTAGCAGAAGCTGGGTCGAAGTGTCGTAGCAGGGACTCAAGCCAGCGCTCCACCAAATGGGACGACAGCATCATAGGTAGCAGCTTAACTCGCTTCTCCCCAACACCGGCCCCAGAATTAACAATTGTTAATTTTTTTGTTTATCTCTAGGAATTCCATTTGTACACAAGAATGGAGTCATATCAAATGTTTCAGAACATAGTCCTTATAGTTAACATATTAATATACACTCAATCTGGAACAATTTCCATTGAAATCATCATCCATTAGGATGATCTTCCTAAAACCCATTTAAAATTGTCAAAGAGGTTAGGGAATTATGGAAGTGGAAAAGGTGCAAGAGCATTAGAATTACTATCACGCCGGCATTTAGATACAGAATATAATCATTGTACCAATAACGGTATATGAACACTGCGAAAGAAATGCAAGTTCATAGAACCTAGAATATTTCCCATGGTCACCCTGTGCTATCAGTTTGTGTTTCATGTCTTTCACGTGGCACCTGGGCAACCCCACTGGGCAACCTGCTATACTTTCCTCAGCAGGGATAGGACAGCTCTCTCTGTTGCAACACCAGAGGAGTGCATATAGTTAATGTTCCTGAGTTGGCTGCTGGCAGCAACCTGTTGGCCATTGACTGCTGCAGTCTCTTCTCTTTGTAGGTAAAGCCGTTACTCCCTCCAGTACTCAACTGAGTTGTGATTTGCATGACTCTCATCCCAAGATGCAACGGGGGGAAATGCTTGGATCTCTGTTCCCGGGTTTTGCCACATTCCTTGACATTGCTGTCTTCTTGGTAGAGTGCTCCTCAGGGACTGGGACTGATGTTCATTGTTCTGCTTGCTTCGCATTGACACTGGTTTTCTGCAAGACAGTAATCAAGGGAGATAATACGTAAAAATCTGTACATAAATGATATAAAAATGTTTTTATGGTCTAGTACCATTAAAAATGTTGATAAGGGGCAGGCATTTAACCCAGCAATTAAGATGTCACATTGGAGTGCAAAGGTTCAATTCCCAGCTCCTGACTCTAGGTTCCTGCTAATGCTGACCCTGGTAGGCAGAAGTGATGGCTCAAGTGATTGGGTTCCTGCAAACCGTGGGAGATCTGGATTGAGTTCTTGTTTCTTAGCTTTGACCTATGGGCATTTGGGGAGTGAGCCAAAGAAAAGACAGGCTTTCTCTCTCTCTTGGTCCCTCTGCTTCTCAAATAAATGATTACATTTTTAAATGCTGCTATTGGAGCGGATGTTAGCACAGCAATTAAGTCACCACTTGGAATGCCTGCATCCCATATTGGAGTGTCTGGATCAAGTCCTGGCTACTCTGCTTCTGATCCAGCTTCCTGCTAATGAGCAACCTGAAGGCTGCTGGTGATGGCTCAAGTGCTTGGGGCCCTGCCACTCACATGGGAGACCCAGATTTTTTAGTTCTTGGCTGCTGGTTTTGGCCTGGCACAGCCCTGGTCATTGTAGCCAGTTGGGGAGTGAATCCGCGGATAGAAGGTCTCTGCCTGTCTCTGTCTCTTCACCTTTCAAACAGAATGAAAAAATAAATAAAAAACTTTAAAAAGCTGCTTTTGTCCTTAATTAAAAAAAAAAGATATATTTATTTGGAAGGCGGAGTTACAGAGAGAGAGAGAGAGAGAGAGAAAGATCTTCCATTTGCTGGTTCATTCCCTAGATGGCCCCAATGGCCAGGGCTGGGCCAGGCCCAAGCAGGAGCCAGGAGCCATATCCAGGTCTCCCACATGGGTGCAGGGGACCAAGCACTTGGGCCAGCTTCTGCTGCTTTCCCAGGCCATTAGCAGGGAGCTGGATCAGAAGTGGAGCAGCTGGGACTTGAACTAACTCCCATAGGTATGCTGGTATTGCAGGCAGTGGCTTAACCCATTAAGCCACAATGATGGCCCCTTTATCTTATTTCTTTTCAATATCATATGAGGTTCTGCTAGCAACTAGAGAGAAAAGACTATCATCAAATTTATGTAGCATCTAAGGTACAAAAAATTATTAATTCTGTATTGCAATTAATAAAATCTAGTGTCTGGAAAAAGTAAAAACAAGAAGAAGAGAAAAAATAAGAATCTAATATCTGTACTTGTACGTTTTGTAATACACCTACATGTTAAACTGTGGCATTCAAATGTATGTAAATTTTTTTTCTGTTTTGAATAGAGTGGAAAATTAGGCAGTAAATGGTTTTGTGCCACTGGCTGGAACATAAAAGTCTATGAGATATATAATAAATATGGAAATAGCAACTATCTCCAAAAGCCAATATATTCCTTTTATTTCCTTACAACTTACAAAAATGTTTTATATGCAGAACACTTTTTTACCTCTTAAGTTTTTTGATATGCTTCTGCTTGGTCATTTCTTTGTATTTCTTTCTCTTTTCACAAAACCATTTAATTATCTGCAAAAAAAAAAAAAAAAAAAAAAAAGATGTGGTGAGGAATAAGTCCTTGGTCTCTAAGAGTGAGAGTCCCCGGGTGACTGTGAAGAAGGGGAAGCGGTCATACCTGCTTATCCGTCATGTTAAACTGGAACGACAGGGACAGGACGTCTTGTACTGTAGGGTGCTTGTTTACTTTAAACCTCTCCCAGAGACTGGTCATGAGCGATTTGCTGACGAATCTTGATGTTGGACCCGGAGCCTTATTTTCCCTTTTCTCATCTTTCTCCAGCTCCTCTTGCTCCTTTTCCGCTCGCTCCGCTTCTTCCTCTCCTTCTTTTCCTGCTCCTCCGTCTTGCCCGCTCTGCGCTCTCTGACTTTCTTCTTCACGGTGATTCCTGTTTGATTGCTCTGGATTTTGATCCCAAGACGCAGCTGGTTGCTTTTGCATTACAGGACCTGTGGGATAAAATAAAATAGAACCTAAATTTGAGTTTCTTAAAAAAAAAAAAAAAAGACTTATTTTATTTACTTGAAAGAGTTACACAGAGAGAGAGAGAGATAGGTCTTCTATCTGCTGGTTCACTCCCCAACAGCCAGGGCTGTTGCTAGGAGCTAGGAGCTTTTTCTGGGTCTCCCACACAGGTGCAGGGGCCCAGGGACTTGGGCCATCTTCTGCTGCTTTCCCAGGCACATTAGCAGGGAGCTCGATTGGAAGTGGAGCAGTGGGAACTCAAACCAGCAACCCTATGGGATGCAGGTGCTACAGGCAGTGCCATAATGCCAGCCCAAATTTGACTTTCAGATCATAGCAAACATTCTTCAGTGGAAGAAAACATTTGACTTTCATAAGATACCCCTATTGTACACTGGTGGAAAGCAGAGAGGAAAACCAGGGGAGAAAGAAAAAGTTATTGAAATCAATGAAGATTTTCATGAAAGGGACAGATCAAAAACAATTTATTTTTGGGTTTAAATATATACTGAGAAAGGAAAAGAGCTATCTATTGAGATGAATACATCTCATTGTAACATTAACTAGTCAAAAATAAATACCAGAGTGTGTGTTGTGCATAGCAAGTTAAGGAGCCACTTGCAACGCCCACATCCCATACTGGAAGGCAGCTTCCAATCCAGCTTCCTGCTAATGCACCCGGGAAGGCAGCAAGTGATGGCCAAAGTACTTGGGTCCCTGCCAACCATGTGGGAGACCCTGATGGAGTTAAAAGTTCTGGCTTCTGCCTGGCCCAGACCTGGCTGTTATAGGCATTTGGGAAGAGAACCAGTGGATCAGATCTCTGTCTCTCTCTTCCTCTGTCACTCTGTCTTTCAGATCAACCAATAATAAAACTTTAAGAAAGTTACATAATATTTAACCAATTTACAATAAAATCTAGACTAAGATGAAATCACCAAAAACAAAAGTTGGTTCTTAGAATAAAATTAGTAAATCATCTGAGAGCATTGACCAAGTGAGAACACACACATAAATACTAGCTATGATGAAAGAATTTAAATTTGTGTTACTGTAAAAAGAAATATTGTAAATGCCTTTGCAGCCATTTATGTGGAAACTTGAGCAAAACAAACATATATATATATATATATATATTCTAAAGATTCATTTTATTTATTTGAAAGGTAGAGTTACAGAGAGAGAGAGAGGGAGAGGCAGAGAGAAAGATCTTCCATCTGCTGGTTCACTCTCCAAATGCTGTAACCCCTGGCACTGGGCCAGTCCATAGCCAGGAATCAAGAACTTTATCTGGGTCCCAGGTTGGTGGCAGGTGTCCAAGCAGTTGGGCCATCCTCTGCTGCTTTTCCAGTCCATTAGCAGGGAGACAGATCAGAAGTGGAGCAGCCAGGACTTGAACCTGCTCCCGTACAGGATACTGGCATCACAGGCAGTGGTTTAACTCGCTACACCATAGCGCAGGCCTCGTAAAAATATTATATATTTTTTTAAATATTTATTTTATGGGCTGGCATTGTGGCACAGCACGTTAAGCTGCGGCCTGGAAAGTCAGCATCCCATATGAACCCTGATCTGAGTCCTAGCTGCTCTACTTCTGATCAAACTCCCTGCTAACAAGCATGAGAAAGCAGCAGAAGATGGCCACAGAGCTTGGGCCCCTGCACCCACGTAGGAGACCTGGAAAAAGCTCCAGGCTCCTGACTTCAGCCTGGCCCAGTCCCCACTGATGCCCCAATTGGGGGAGTGAGCCAGTAGACGGAAGACTTCTCTATGTCTTTCCCTCCCTCTCTCTGTAACTCTTTTTTTTAAATTAAAAAAAAAAAAAAAAAAGGAGGTATGACTAGCCCTTTAATTAATTGTTTTCAGTCTTCCCATGAAAGTCTGGCATAATTATCAAGAATACTCTCTTTTACCTGGTGAAAATGCATGATCTTTCATTTTATTACAGACTTCACTGTAAATATGTTGCGTATTACTAAGTCATTTCAACATAATTCCTTTTTGGACTCATTAACATTGCAAAGAGATGTACTAATTTCCAGTTATAATTTCCACAGTTATTTCCTTTCTCTGCTCAAGAAAACTCTGGTTTAAACTATTATGTGGTTCCTCTTTTTATACTATTACGAAACCAAATTATTAATTTAAAAATAACCAAGACATAGGGCCAATGCTGTGATTTAGTGGGTTAAGCCACTGTCTGTGATGCTGGCATCCTATATGAGTGCCGACTAGAGTCTCAGCTGCTCCACCTCTGACCCAGCTGCCTGCTAATGTGCCTGGGAAAGTAGCAGAAGACGGCCTAAGTGCTAGGGCCCCTACACCCACATGGGAGACCCAGAAGAAGCTCCTGGCTCCTGGCTTCAGCCTGGCCTACCCCTGGCTATTTAAACCATTTGGGCAGTGAAACAGCTGATGGAAGATCTCTCTCTCTCTCTCTCTGTAACCTTACTTTTCTTTTTTTTTTTTCTTCTTTTTTTTAAGGAAAAGGGTTTATTGGGGCAAACGCAGCAGACCGGAGGGAAGGGGCAAAGAAGGAAAAGGAGAGTAAGAGAGAAAGAGGAGAGAGGGGAGTGAGAGAGAAGAGGAGGCTAGAGAGAGAAGAGAGACGAGAGGAGGAAAAGAGCCAGAGCTGTAACCTTACTTTTCAAATAAACAAATAAATAAACCTTTAAAAAAATTAACCAAGACATACTGGGAAAGGAATATAATTAGGGATATAATAGAAAGTTATAGTAATTAAGACTATGCGGCCGGCGCCGCGGCTCACTAGGCTAATCCTCCACCTAGCGGTGCTGGCACACCGGGTTCTAGTCCCGGTCGGGATGCCGGATTCTGTCCTGGTTGCCCCTCTTCCAGGCCGGCTCTCTGCTGTGGCCCGGGAGTGCAGTGGAGGATGGCCCAAGTGCTTGGGCCCTGCACCCCATGGGAGACCAGGAGAAGCACCTGGCTCCTGCCTTTGGATCAGCGCAGCGCGCCAGCCGCGGCGGCCATTGGAGGGTGAACCAATGGCAAAAGGAAGACCTTTCTCTCTGTCTCTCTCTCTCTCTCACTGTCCACTCTTCCTGTCAAAAAAAAAAAAAAGAGAGAGAGAGAGAGAGAGAAATTGTGGCTTTTATGCTGTATTTTCCATACTGCTTGACGCTTGTGCAATGGCAGTACATTTACTGTTAGATGAATGGTGAGAATGCTCGTGCTGGTTGACTCCACAGCATACCTGAACGCTGGGTAGGATTTGAGTTTTCAAGAAAGCCTTTTCCATGGGCCTCTGTACCCTGGGGTTGCTGCAGAGAGTCCATATACTGGGCATCTTGGGCTAAAAATCGCAGGATGCAACTCATGGTTTCTTCAAAGCTCATTTTACCAATGACATCTTCCAAAGGTGTATTCACATATTGGTTCAGGCCAATCCAGTTATTCCATGCACCAGATGTGCCTGTGTGACCTAAAATTAAAGACTCATTTAGTGTTAAATTTCTATGATTTGACATTTTTAATATTTAAACTTCAATTTTCTTAAGCAATTTATTTATTTATTTGACTGGCAGAGTGACAGAGAGAGATCTTCAAATCAGGTTCACTCCCCAGATGGACAGGTCTGGACTAATCCAGGTCTTCTACATGAGTGGCAGGAGCCCAAGAACTTGGGCCACCTTCTGCTGCTTTCCCAGGCGTATTGGTAGGAAGTTGGATGGGAAGTGGAGCAGCTGGGACTCCAGCATTCTGTCATGGGATGCTGGCAATGCAAGCAGAGGCTCATCCTGGTAGGTGTCACAATGCTGGCTCCTGATTTGGCATTTGGATGAAGCCCTGAGTTTCAAAAGAATTTGTGATAAAACCCCAAAGGATAGTAAGGAATGGTTATGGATATAAGAATGATTAGGAATAGAGTAAAGGAGGCAATAAATTTGCTTATTATTTGATTTCTAATAAATTGTCACTTAACTCCAACATTTTAATTTTGTGAAGTTATCAGCTTCCAGGCCTTATTGATATTGGTCATGATGCTTTGCTCTGAGTGTTCTTTTTTATAAAGATTTATTTATTTGAAAGGCAGAGTGATACAGAGAGACAAGGAGAGACAGAGAGAAAGATCTTCCATCTACCTATTCACTCCCAAAGTGTCCACAATGGCCGGGGCTGGGACAGGCCCAAGTCAGGAGCCCAGAACTCCCTCAGGGTCTCCTAGGTGGGTGGCAGGGGCCCAAGTACTTGGACATCTTTCACTGCTTTCCCAGGTTCATTAATAGGGAGGTGGATGGGAAGTAGAGCAGCTGGGATTCAAACCAGCGCTCTGGTAGGAGATACCGAAATCAAAACCTGCCGTGCCCCAACATCGTCCCTGAGTCTTTTCCTCCAAACGCTGAGATTTTTAGAGATTAAAACATTCTCAGGGGAGGGCACCATGGTTAAACTGTGGCTTAGGATGGCCACAAGCCACGTAGGAGTGCCTGCGATAGAGTCCTGCTTCTTCTTCCAATCCAGCTTCGTACAAACGTGCCTGAGATGCCCCAGAAGATGGCCCAAGTACTTAGGCCCCTGCAACCTACATGGAAGACCTGGGTGGAGTTCCTGGGTCTTGCTTTGGGCCTGGCCCATTCCTGGCTGTAGTAAGCATTTGGGGAATGAGCCAGCAGATGGAAGATTTCTCTGTTCCTCTGCCTTTCAATTAAATCTCTCTCCCTCTCTCCTTTTGAAGATTTATTTATTTATTTGAAAGGCAGAGTTAGAGAGAGAGGGAGAGATAGAAAGGTCTTCCATCTACCGGTTCACTCCCCAAATGACCACATCTTTTTTTTAAAAGATTGATTGATTGATTTGAAAGTCAGAGCTAGAGAGAAAGAGATCTTCTATTGATTGGTTCACTCCCAAGATGGCCACAATGGCCAGGGCTGAGCCAGTCCAAAGCCAGGAGCCAGGAGCTTCATCTGGGTCTCCTGAGTGGGTGCAGGGGCCCAAGCATGTGGGCAGTCCTCTGCTGCTTTCCTAGGTGCAATAGCAGGGAGAAGAACTGGAGAAGCCAGGATTTGAACTGGCACCCACATGGGATGCTAGCATCACAAGCTGAAGCTTTTCCTGTTATGCCACAATGCTGGCCTTATGGAAGCACTGTTTTTCAAAGGTGCTTCGATTACAAATATGGAAGGAGAATATCACTGCATCAATCTAGTAATTAACAAAAAAACTCTGTGAGAATAAGAAATACAAAATATAGTCAGTTCTTAGCTGCTCGAATCCCACAGTAATTGCAAGTGTACCTAAAAGATGCCAACTTGGGGCTGGCACTGTGGTGTAGCAGGTAAAGCTGCCGCCTGCAGTGCCGGCATCCCACATGGGTGCCGGTTTGAGTCCTGGATGCTCCTCTTCCGATCCAGCTCTCTGCTATGGCCTAGAAAGCAGCAGAAGATGGCCCAAGTCCTTGGTCTCCTGCACCTGCGTGGGAGACCTGGAAGAAGCTCCTGGCTCCTGACTTCAGATCGGTGCAGCTCCAAACTTTGCCGCCAATTAGGGAGTGAACCAGCAGGTGGAAGACCTCTCTCTCTCTCTTTCTCTGCCTCTCTGTAACTCTCCCATTCAAATAAATAAATCTTTTTTTTTTTTTTTTAAAGATGTCAACTCTTGAAAGTAAGAGAAAGAGAAAAGCCTCCCTTAACTGATGGAAGGAAGCCTTAATCGGATCACTGGCAATCTTGTTTACTTAATTGATACGAATTTTAATTAAAATCTTAAGAAAGATTTAGCATTACCTCCGTTAAGTCGGCATCCCATATGGGCATAGGTTCAAGTCCTGGCTGCTCCACTTACGATCCAGCTCTCTGCTATGGCCTTGGAAGGCAGGAGAAGATGGCCCAAGTCCTTGGGCCCCTGCACCCATGTGGGAGACCCAGAAGAAGCTCCTGGCTCCTGGCTTCGGATTGGCGCAGCTCCAGCTGTTGCGGCCACTTGGGGGAGTGAACCAGCGGATGGAAGATTCTCTCTCTCTGCCTCTCCTCTCTATGTGTAACTCTGACTTTCAAATAAATAAATAAATCTTTTTAAAAAATGTTTAAGTTCAAACACACTGGGGACCAGCTTTGTGGCGCAGCAGGTTAAGCCAGTGCCTGTGATGCTGGAATTCTATATTGGAGCACCAGTTTGACTCTCAGGTGCTCCCCTTCCAATCGAACACCTGGGAAAGCAGCTGAAGATGACCCAATTGCTTGGGTCCCTGCACTACGTGGAAGACCCAGAGGAAGCTCCTGGCTCCTGACTTCTGCCTGGCCCAGCGCTGGCTGTTTCAGCCATCTGGGGCGTGAACTAGCAAATGGAAGTTCTCTCTCCCTTTCTAACTCTGATTTTCAAATAAATAAAATAAATCTTGAAAAGTAGATAAATAGATTCAAATACACTTATTTTTAAAATGTATCAGCTTCAAATTTCTGGGATCCAAGTCGTTAGTTACATCAGAGGTTTCCTGCTCGCTATTTTACTCATCAGCAGTACAAACATCTGCAGTTATTACCATGCTAAAAAAAAAAAACAAAAAACAAAAAAACAAAAAACCAGGACTGACTCTGGATAGTGGGTAAAGCTGCTGCCTGCAGTGCCCGCATCCCAGTCAGGCACCGGTTCCAGTCCCGGCTGCTCCCTGTTAAGGACCTGGGAAAGCAGTGGAGGATGACCCCTGCCACTCATGTGGAGACCTGGAAGAAGTTCCTGGCTCCTGGCCTCCACCTGATTCAGCCTCGGCCATTGCAGCCATTTGGGGTGTGAACCAGCGGATGGAAGATTCTCTCTCTGCCTTTCCCTCTCTCTCTCTGTAACTCTGCCTTTCAAATAGATTAAAAAAAAAACACACAAAAAAAAACAAAAAACACTCCTTTTCATGAGTTCCTCCCCTGCTGCCCACCCCTCTCCTCATTTTCTTCAGAGTTCGCTCCCCAAATGCTGCGGGTGTTTGTCGGGCAGTTAAGAGGTCACATCCCCTCTCAAAGGGTGGGATTCAGGTTGAGTCCTCTTTTTTTTTTTTTTTTTTTAAGATTTATTTGTTTATTTGAAAGTCAGAGTTACACAGAGAGAGGAAAGGCAGAGAGAGAGAGAGAGAGAGGTCTTCCATCTGCTGGTTCACTCCCCAACTGGCCACAATGGCCGGAGCTGCACCAATACAAAGCTAGGAGCCAGGAGCCTCTTCTAGGTCTCCCACGAGGTTGCAGGAGCCCAAGGACTCGGGCCATCTTCCACTGCCTTCCCAGGCCATAGCAGAGAGCTGGGTTGGAAGAGAAGCAGCCGGGACTCGAACCTGTGCCCACATGGGGTGCCGGCACTTCAGGCCAGGGCGTTAATCCACTGTGCCACAGCGCCGGCCCCCCCCCCCTTTTTTTTTTAAAGATAAGTCTTTTAAGTCTCGATTCCACCTTTCATTCAGGCTTCCTGCTAATGCATATTCATGAGTGCAGCAGATAAAAGTTCAAGTACTTGGGTCCCTGCCATCTTTGTGGGCTACGGGGACTGAATTCCTGGTTCCTGGCTGTAGCCAGTCCCAGCCTTGGCTGTTGTGGGCATTTGGGGAGTGAAATAGTGGACAGGAGCTCTCTCTCCCTTTGCCTCTCTGCTTCTCAAGTGCATAATTCAAAGCAACAACAACAAAGCGACTTCTCTGCGGCTGCTGTTTGCCTGTTGGGATTTTTCTCCCCTCATACACTCTTGAATTTGCTCCACATTAACCTCCACACTCTGGTCCAAGTCACAGATCAGTCACCTTAACACACGCCAAAGTTGAACACGGAATTCCCAGTCCTCACGCCACTTACCTGCATTCCCAGGGGCTTTGCGAGCTTCAGGAGCTCTCTCCATCTTGAAAAAATTGTTTCTCATGGACGCCATGACCCCCGCTCCTCCCCTGTGGATGGCGGCACTGTCAAAGTTTTCTCAGCTCCTTCCTCCTTCCCGGCCTCTCCTGACCTCTGGCGTTTTTTGATGACTCCAGGCTAACCTTTTATCTCCTCCCATCCAGTTCCACCCTAGATAATCCAATCGCAAGGCTTTAAATTGGTATGACTTCCAGATTGGCTTATTCCACACCCCATTCACGCATCTGCTCAGATGTCTAACAGGTTACTGAAGTCTCACTGAGTCCTGATTCGCTCTCAGGACTTTTCATGTCAGTAATGCCAACCCCATCCCTCTAGCAAGAGCAGTCACAAACCTTGGGGCAATCCCAGTCTTTCAGAAAATCGTGCAAATTTCTTATCTTTAAAATGTGGGGGTGGGCATTGGTATAGCAGTTAAGACTCTCCTTGGAATGCCTGCACCCCATTTTGGAGAGCTTGGGTTTGAGTCCTGGCTCTGCTCCTGATTCTGGTTTCCTGCTAAAAAGTACCCTAAGAGGCTGTGGCTCAAGCCACATATCGTATACATATATTAAAATATCACACTGTGCTTCATAATAGTTACATGTCAGTCAAGAATAAAATTACGTATAGTTTTTAAGGGTATATATACTTTTAAAAGACACTTTAAATTGGAGAGTTCTTTAAATTAGATTTTCTTTTTTTTAAGATAGAGGTTTTTTTTAAAGATTTATTTATTTATTTGAAAGTCAGAGTTACACAGAGAGAGAGGAGAGGCAGAGAGAGAGAGAGAAAGGTCTTCCATCCGCTGGTTCACTCCCCAATTAGCTGCACTGGCTGGAGCTGTACCAATCCAAAGCCAAGAGCCAGGAGCTTCTTCCAGGTTTCCCTCTCAGGTACAGGGGTCCAAAGACTTGTGCCATCTGCTATTGCTTTCCCAGGCCATAGCAGAGAGCTGGATTGAAAGTGGAGCAGCTGGGACTTGAACCATTGCCCATATGGGATGCCAGCACAGCAGACAGTGGCTTTACCTGCTTTGCCACAGCGTCGGCCCCGTTCCTTTACTATTAAAAGTCAAATCAGGGCTGGCATTGTGGCATAGTGGTTAAAGCTGCCACCTGCAACGCCAGCATCCCAGATGGGTGCTTATTCCAGTCACTGCTGTCCCACTTCCAATCCAACTTCCTGCTAATGTGCCTGGGAAGGCGGATGACCCCTATTCCTTGGGCCCCTGCCACCCACATGGGAGACCCAGAAGAAGCTCCTGGCTCCTGGTTTTGGACCAGCCCAGCTCTGGCCACTGCGGACATTTGGGGAGTGAACCAGGTCTCATAAGACAGTTTTAAACTTTGCACCAGGTGGTCCTGCCATCCTTCCATAATCACCTCCTAATGACTCAGCTTCAAACACTTTGTTGATTTTTATAGTCAATTTCCTCTCTTTCATCAATACTCTTCCTAACCTTTTATTAAACACGGAATTAGGAAGCAGCTGCTGGCGTCCCATGTAGAGCTCTGGATTCTCCACTTCCATTTCAGATTCCTGCTAATGTGCCTGTGAAGTCAGTGGATGATGGCTCAAGTACTTGGGCCCCTGCACCCATGTGGGGGACCCGGTTTGAGTTCCTGGTTCCTGTCTTTGGTTTGGCTAAGCCCTGGCTGTTGTGGACATTTGGGGAATGAGCCAGTGGATGGAAAATCTCTCTTTTTCCTCTCTGTTTTTATTCCTCTGCCTTCTCTCTCTCTCTCTCCCACCCCTCTGATGCTCTATCTTTCAAATAAAAAAAAGTCTTAAAAAAACACTTAGCACCAAATTTTAGATGGAACAATTTTTGATGGCCTTCATTTTTTTTTTAAGATTTATTTATTTATTTGAAAGGCAGAGTTACAGAGAAGCAGAGAGAGAGACAGAGAGAGACTTCCATCACTCCCCAATTGGCCACAACAGCCGGAGCTGGGCCCAGCTGAAACCAGGAACCAGGAGCTTCCTCTGGGTCTTTCACATGGGTGCAAGGGCCCAAGCACTTGGGCCATCCTCCACTGCTTTCCCAGGCCATAGCAGAGAGCTGGATTGGAAGTGGAGCAGCTGGGATGCCGGCACTGCAGGTGGTGGCTTTACCTGCTACGCCATAGCGCCGGCCTCAATGGCCTACATTTTATAATGTAATCCAGCATCCAATACAACAAATTCGTAAAAATCTCGCAGAATTCATTTGCCCTAGGATATTTACATTGCTTTTGCCTCACCCAACACCTTTGAAAATAAACTCCAGATCTTTTTGGCCCACTCCAGAGGTTTTATTTCACACATGAAGACAAGATCTACCAAGCTTTGGCTATAACGACTTCAGTCTTCTAAATTATATCCTTTACACTCTGCCCTGTCAATACAAGAGAGAAGCACAAAGTCACTATTTTAGAATTTGCTGGGGAGCTGTGTTATATGATATGCTGAAGCACAAGATACGGTACTGCCAAAATTCACGCAGTTCCAACACTTGGCTTCCTGTGTGGCTCCAATGAGTGTGAGCGATTACTTTCTCCTGCGGGGGCGGGTTGGAAGCAACCCAATATGATTTCCAGGGATTTAACTGATGCATATTCAGCTGTAATTCTGCAGGCTCGAATTTGACACATCCGATCAGCACCCTTGTTGAAGAAAAATCACCTCCACGTGTGTGTGTAGTGTGCTCTGGCCTGTTTCCCCCTCAGGTGGAGAGAAAGATACAAACAGGACCTCTAACCACTGGGTCATTCCCCAAAGGCCTGCAAAAGCCAGGGGAGCCAGGAACTGCAGAATCCAGGCCGCCCATGCTTGCCATGTGGGTGGCAAGCAGCCAAGTACTTGAGCTATTGCCTGCTGTCTTCCAGGGTATGTCTTAGCAGGAAGCTGGGATCAGGAGCGGAGCCGAGACTCGAACCGAGGTACCTGATATTGGATATGGACGTCCTGAGTGGCATCCTAACTGCTCCATCAAATGCCTGCCCCTCATTGCTCTCTCTGTTGTGAAATTTGGGAAGGCTGCGGATTCCTGGGCTGGAAGCCAGGCTGGTTGTCTCTGTTCCTCCTCTGTTCCCACGGGGCCACTCTCTTGAGCTGCACAGTGCGCCCCATCCCGAGGCCAGGCTACACAGGCATCTCTTGGAGAGCTCTCAGCTGGGACCAGTTCTGAGCTGCATGCCCCAGAGACAAGGGCATCTGCCAGCTGCCTTGCAACTGACCTTGTCCTCTGGAGTCCCCGGCCAGGTACAGCTGATCCTCTCACCTGATCCCTAATCACCTCCCCCGACTCCCCTCAGTGTCTTGGCTTGAAACACTTCTTGGACAGTGGCAGAGTCCCCACTTTGAATAATATTCTGCTTAACCTTTTACTGAAGAACGACCTGGGGTACAACCCCCGCCCCCATCACTGCCAACTGTGAGGTCACCGAGGACTTCATTGCAAGCCCAGAGCTCAAAGTGGCCTCCCCCCCAGACCCCACCTCTGGTTTCCCTCTCACAACGTGGTTTAAAATATTGGCAAAAGCTAAACAGAAGACCATTCTCATTCTCTCTCTCTCTCTCTCTCTCTCTCTCTCTCTCTCGATCCATCTGCTGGATCACTCCCCAGATGGCCTCAACAGCCAGAGCTGCACTGATCCGAAGCCAGGAGCCAGGAGCTTCTTCCAGGTCTCCCATGCGGGTGCAGGGGCCCAAGGACTTGGGCCATCTTCCACTGCTTCCCCAGGCCATTGCAGAGAGCTGGATCAGAAGAGGAGCAGCCGGGACTAGAACAGGCACCCATGTGGGATGCCGGCGCTTCAGGCCAGGGCATTAACCTGCTGTGCCACAGTGCCGCCCCCAACAATATACTCTCAATTACAATCTACAAAGCATAATTTTATATATTTGTTCATTTATTAAAGATTTATTTATTTGAGGAGTCGGTGTTGTGGTGTAGGAGGCTAAGTAAGTGGGGAACCGGGACTTGAACCTACACAGGAGAGTGATTGGATGGTTTAATCCCCTCTGCCACAATGCCAGCCCCACAGAAGTTGTTTTAGTTCAATGCAATTTTTATTTATTCCCTTAGATTTAGCATCTAGAATATATATATTTCTGTTTAGTATACAAAATGTTAAAACTTTTAACTATATGACTTTTCGTACACACACAAAAACACATTTGGTCAAAAAATTGTTTATGGGGGTAGGAGTTTTGCCTAGTGGTTAAGATGCCAGCTGAGACACACAAATCCCACATGGGAGTGCTTGGATTGGATTCCTGGCTCTGGCTTCTGATTCTAGCTTCCAATTAAGGCAGACCCTGGGAACCAGCAAGTGGTGAAGTAGTTAGGTCCCGGGGCCGGCACTGTGGCATAGTGGGTAAAGCCACTGCCTGCAGTGCTGGCATCCCATATGGGTGCCAGTTCCAGTCCTAGCTGCTCCACTTCTGATCCAGCTCTCTGCAAAGGCCTGGGAAAGCAGTAGAATCTGACCCAAGTCCTTGGGCCCCTGGGAAGAGGCTCCTGGCTCCTGGCTTTGGATCAGCACAGCTCTGGCCATTGTGGCCATCTGGGGAGTAAACCAGTGGATGGAAGACTTCTCTCTCTGGCTCTGCCACTCTATGACTCTGCCTTTCTAATACAATAAACACATCTTAAAAAAAAATTAAAAAGTAGTTGGGTTCCTGCCTGCACGTGGGAGACCTGGATGGCGTTCCCAGCTGCCCTGCCACTGCAGACCTTTGGGGAGTGAACCAGTGGATCTGAGCTTTCTCTCTCTCTCTGATTCCCTCCGACTTTCTGTCTTGCAAGTAAAATAACAAAATAAACATTTATGAACTGGTCTATATATCTTGTTATACATAAGCTATCTGATCTTACTTATTTCCTATGACCAGACATGAAATATGTTTTCATGTTTCAGACATGTTTTCATGGCAAAAGCAGACTGTTTCATACCCCGTATTCTTTGAAGACAAACTCGCTCAGACATGCTGCTTTTGGGCACCTGTCAGAGTTTGTTTCCTTTTTCATCAGGAGCCTCGACAGAG